ATTCCCCTTAATGAAAACCTACCCCTGGCACACTCACAAATTATCTAGCGTTATATAATCCTCCTCTGTGGTATAACTGACACACACACACAAATTCTCTAGAGATATTAAATCCTATCCCGGCTATATAACTGACACACTCACTCACTCACTCACGCACTCTAGAGTTATTAAGTCCCACCCTGTGGTATAACTGACACATTCACAAATTCTCTAACGTTATATAATACTACCCTGTGATATAACTGACATACTCACAAATTCTCTAGTGTTATATAATCCTTCCCCTGTGATATAACTGACACACTCACAAATTCTCTAGCGTTATATAATCCCCCTGTGTGGTATAACTGACACACTCACAAATTCTCAAACGTTATATAATCCTACCTCTGTGATATAACTGACACACTCACAAATTCTCTAAGCGTTATATAATCCCGCCCTGTGATATAACTGATACACTCACAAATTCTCTAGCGTTATATAATCCTACCACTTTGATATAACTGACACACTCACAAATTCTCTAGCGTTATTATAATCCTACCTCTGTGATATAACTGACACACTCACAAATTCTCTAACGTTTAATAATCCTACCAATGTGATATAACTGACACACTCACAAATTCTCTAACGTTAAATAATCCTACCCTGTGATACAACTGACATACTCACAAATTCTCTAGCATTATATAATCTTACCCCTGTGATATAACTGACACACAAAAATTCTCTGGCGTTACATATTCCCACCCCTGTGATATAGCTGACACACTCCACAAATTCTCTGGCGTTAAATAATCCTCCCCTCTGATATAACTGACACACTCACAAATTCTCTAGCGTTATTATAATCCTACCTCTGTGATATAACTGACACACTCACAAATTCTCTAACGTTAAATAATCCTACCCTGTGATACAACTGACATACTCACAAATTCTCTAGCATTATATAATCTTACCCCTGTGATATAACTGACACACAAAAATTCTCTGGCGTTACATATTCCCACCCCTGTGATATAACTGACACACTCACAAATTCTCTAGCGTTAAATAATCCTTCCCCTCTGATATAACTGACACACTCACAAATTCTCTAACGTTATATAATCCTACTCCTGTGATATAACTGACACACAAAAATTCTCTTGCGTTATATATTCCCACCCCCTGTGATATATCTGACACACTCACAAATTCTCTAGCGTTATATAATCCTTCCCTGTGATATAACTGACACACTCACAAATTCTCTAGCGTTATATAATCCTCCCTATGGTATAACTGACATACTCACAAATTCTCTGGCGTTATATAATCCTCCCCTGTGATATAACTGACATACTCACAAATTCTCTAGCGTTATATAATCCTACCCTGTGGTATAACTGACAGATTCACAAATTCTCTAACATTAAATAATCCTACCCTGTGGTATAACGGACATTCTACCACATTCTCCCCATGATAGAAATCTTTACCTTCTTTATATTACAAATGCCTTCACATTCGTCAAACGTTATATAGTCCTACTCCTGTGGTATAACTGACACACTCACAAATTCTCTAACGTTAAATAATTCTCCCCTGTGATATAGCTGACATTCTCACCACATTCTCTCAACGATGAAAATCTTACCTTCTTCATATTACACATACATACTTCACATTCGTCATACGTTATATCATCCAACTCCTGTGATATAACTGACATTCTACCACATTCCCTCAACTATAAAATCTTACCTTCTTCTTCATATTGCACATTCATACTTCACATTCGTCAAATGTTATAAAGTCCCTACTCCTGTGGTATAACTGGCACACTCCCAAATTATATAACGTTATATAATCCTCCCTGTGGTATAACTGACACACTCACAAATTCTCTAACGTTATAAAGTCCTACTCCTGTGGTATAACTGACACACTCACAAATTCTCTAACATTAAATAATCCCTCCCTGTGGTATAACGGACATTCTACCACATTCTCCCCATGATAGAAATCTTACCTTCTTCATATTACAAATACACACTTCACATTCGTCAAACGTTATATAGTCCTACTCCTGTGGTATATAACTGACACACTCACAAATTCTCTAACGTTAAATAATTCTCCCCTGTGATATATAGCTGACATTCTACCACATTCTCTCAACGATGAAAATCTTACCTTCTTCATATTACACATACATACTTCACATTCGTCATACGTTATATCATCCAACTCCTGTGATATAACTGACGTTTCTACCACATTCTTTCAAGCGTGTCAGTTATATCACGGAGTTGGATTATATAACGTATGACAAATCAATATGTCTGTAATATGAAGAAAATAAGATCTACACCTCTTCATATTACACATACATACTTCACTGACATTCTACCACATTCTCTCAACGATAAAAATCTTACCTTCTTCATAATTACACATACATACTTGCATTCGTCATACGTTATATAATCCAACTCCTGTGATATAACTGACATTCTACCACATTCTCTCAACGATAAAAATCTTACCTTCTTCATATTACACATACATACTACATTCGTCTAACGTTATATATCCAACTCCTGTGATATAACTGACATTCTACCACATTCTCTCAACGATAAAATCTTACCTTTTTTCATATCACACATACATACTTCACATTCATCAAACGTTATATAATTCAACTCCTGTGATATAACTGACATTCTACCAAATTCTCTCAACGAAACAAAAATCTTACCTTCTTCATATTACACCAACATTCTTCACATTCGTCAAACGTTATAAAGTCCTACTCCTGTGGTATAACTGACACACTCACAAATTTTCTAACGTTCAATGATCCTACTGACACACTAATAAATTCTCCAACGTTATATTATCTCACCCCTGTGATATAACTGGCATAGTCCCTGAGCTATAACTGACACTCTCATAAATTCTCCAACGTTATAAAATCCTACCCCTGTGGTATAACTGACATACTCACAAATTATCTAGAGTTATATATTCCTGCCCCTGTAATATAACTGACACACTCACACATTCTCTAGCGTTATATAATCCTACCCCTGTGATATAACTGACACACTCACAAATTCTCTAGCGTTATATAATCCTACCCCTGTGATATAACTGACTCACTGACAAATTCTCTAGCCCCTGTGATATAACTGACACACTCACAAATTCTCTAGATTAATAATCCCCTGTGGTATAACTGAGCTACACTCACTATCTAACGTTAATAATACACTGTGGTATAACTGACACACTCACAAATTCTCTAACGTTAAATAATCCTACCCCTGTAGTATAACTGACATTCTACCACATTCTCTCAACGATAAAAAACCTTACCTTCTTCATATTACACCAACATACTTCACATTCGTCAAACGTTATAGAGTCCTACTCCTGTGGTATAACTGACACACTCACAAATTCTCTAACGTTCAATGATCCTACTGACACACTAATAAATTCTCCAACGTTATATTATCTCACCCCTGTGATATAACTGACATAGTCCCTGGGCTATAACCGACACTCTCATAAATTCTACATTGTTAAAAACCCCCACCCCTGTGGTATAACTGACACTCTCATAAATTCTACAACGTTAAAAACTCCTACCCCTGTGGTATAACTGACACTCTCATAAATTCTACATCGTTATAAAATCCTACCCATGTGGTATAACTGACACACTAACAAATTCTCCAACGTTAAAAAATCATACCCTATGGCATAACTCACATTCGTATACATTCCTCGAACGTTACAAAAGCTGTCCCTTGCAAAAACGTGGACTTACTTTAAAAAGGGCTCGTAATGAGACGTTCAAAGAACATAATGCCTTAATTAATACAGCAATAAACATCTCCCCTGTGATATAACTGAAACACTCCTCAAATTTAACGTTACATAATCCCGCCCCTGAAGGTATAACTGACACACTCACAAATTCTCCAACGTTATAAACTCCTACCCCTGTGGTATAACTGACACACTCACAAATTATCTAGAGTTATATAATCCCACCCTGTAATATAACTGACACACTCACACATTCTCTAGCGTTATACTAATCCTACCTTCTGTGATATAACTGACACACTCACAAATTCTCTAGCGTTATAAAATATTACCCCTGTGGGGTATAACTGACACACTCACAAATTCTCTAACGTTATATAATCCTACCCCTGTGATATAACTGACACACTCCTCACAAATTCTCTTAACGTTAAATAATCCTACCCTGTGGTATAACTGACACACTCTATAACCGTATAACTTCTCTAACGTTATAAAGTCCCTACTCCTGTGGTATAACTGACACACTCACAAATTCCTCTAACGTTAAATAATCCTACCCCTGTGATATAACTGACACACCTGTCACAAATTGTCTCAACGTTAAAAACCTTTACCTTCTTGGTATATTACACCAACATACTTCTACATCTGTAATATAACGTTATAGAAAGTCCTGCTCATCTGTGGTAGCAATCTGATACACTCCTACAAATTATCTAACGTTCAATGATCCTACTGACACACTAATAAATTCTCCAACGTTATATTATCTCACCCCTGTGATATAACTGATATAGTCCCTGGGCTATAACCGATACTTTCATAAATTCTACAACGTTAAAAACTCCTACCCCTGTGGTATAACTGACTCTCACAAAGTATTCTCCAACGTTAAAAATCCTACCCCTGTGATGCATAACGACACTCACAAATTCTCCAACGTTTAAAAAGTCGGCGCTACCCTCATGGCATAACTCACATTCTGCATACATTCCTCGAACGTTACAAAGTCTTGCATTAAAACGTGGACTTTTTAAAGGGCTCGTAATGAGACGTCTAAAGAACATAATGCCTTAATTAATACAGCAATAAACATCTCCGTTAGAACGTTTTAACGCATGCGTGGACTAAGTTTAACAGCAAGACAGGACACCAGAACAGGGGAGAGTCATGTCTTTACGATTGAACTACATGGCTTAATGACCTTGCCTTGAATGAAGCTAGTGTAGAGGATATGTCACTCCAAACTGAGGCTTCGTGGACCATGAGATCTCCCAGTTGACGTGTGTGGGGATGTGAAGTGCGAATATTGATTTGTGTCCTGTGTGGCGAACGGTATGGACACGAAGACGCAGAGCGATTGGACTTCACGGGTGTAGTATGGGTGGATCGCCCACTCAGCCGATTCCGCGCGTATGTCGTCCTGGAACCCCCACCTCTGTGTTTCTTTCTGTTCGTTTTTGCGGAAACAGGCGACGTTGATTACGCATTTATGTCATGCTCCTGACGTTCATTCACTCGCTATGGAGATAAATGGATTATTTTATGGGACAGTGCAGTTAAGTGTCTGATAGAGAGCTGATTGAAATATACAGTGTTGTGAAGAGTTCTGGTAGTGTTGTGTGTACCTCCACATGCAGTTGCCAGGTCTGTACAAGCTCCGGGCGTCGCGCGATGCAAGTCTGGCGGAGGAGACTTCAGCCAAACGTCCCTCATGTCGGAGGTGCAAGGCTGGTTGTGAAGCAGACGATACCAAGCGTATACAGGAAGCGTCTGAGCGGCTCGGGGATAGATATATTAGATGCGTTGCCCGCGACAGACAAGTATTGACTGTAGTAGAGGCTGAATTAACTGTAAACTCCCTCAGAGACAGACATATCCCACAGGCTTTTATATTCACCACAAATGCATTGTTTTCTTCTGTGGTGTAGCGTCGCGTTTACCCGTAGCATTGATCACCACGCGAGGGTAGTCAACCCAGGCTCTTCGACGGAGCCGGGGCTACAGAGAAGAGGCTCGGGACTGAATCGATTGGGGGAGGTGATTTGACTCAGGTGCGTGAAAATTGGAGAGGCCTGTTGTGTTAGCATGAAAACAGTGCATTGATTAGACGGGAAGATGAACAGATGAAATACGAGTGGTCATACCAAGTCAATGTCCCAGGGATAGGCATTTTTCATTGACTTGTGTCTGCCGGACTACGCTTCCCGCCCGTGATTGGAAGTAGCTCATCCGTCACACGAACAGGTAAGCGGACGGACAAAAAGCCCGCGAGTGTGTCGTCTGCTATCAGCTGTAGCAGCCGACGACATGGGCAGAAGCAGACGAGCGTTGGTTCAGCACATGTTTTTCTTGCACGTGTGTGTGGTCGTCCTGTTATCCCAGTGTGCATGTCTCTCAGAGAGAAAGTTGTCCGAGTTTGAGGAAGTTGTGAAGACGGTCCTCCATTGTAGAAATGTACCTGCTGCGTCGATATCACTTGTGCAAGATGGGAAAGTGCTGATGAAGAGATCATTTGGAAAGGCCGATCCGGAGAAGAATATTCATGCCAAGGATGACACCCAGTTTTGCATTGGATCATTAACGAAAGCATTTACTTCAACGATTTTGGCCAAGCTTGTAACGGAGCGAAAAAAGTAAGTATCTAAATTCAATGCATACTGACATCATGCTACTTTAAATCTGAATGCCTGTTAACATCATGAACATCATACGCAACTGGGATACGATGACATGTGTCAACCAAGTCAGCGAGCCTGACCACCCAATCCCGTTAGTCTTCTCTTAAGATAACTCAGTCGCCTCTTAACTTGCTGAAGACCAATTTCAACCACATCGTACTAGGTGTTTTGGGTGACTTGCTTGCTTGTGTGTGATCGTACCTGATGGCGTTTGATGCTGCTCATTATATCATTCACTGGTTTATCCGGTAATGGGTCAATAATTTAAATGCCTCCGTCATATAGCTGGTGTAGTATTTGCTATGGCGTGATAAAAAAGCATGAACATAATACAAAATGCAAATGCAAACCGTATGCTCGTCGGAACCCATACGTACGAATGTTAACAGCGAAACACACACATGGACACAAACAGGTATATGTGTTATGTGTTATGTAGGACCCATGTGGATGTGTTATTCCGATATCGCAAATGAAGCAAGACACACGTGCATGTGGCATTCAAATATAACAGATGGGGTAAAACACACGGGCAGGTGTCATTTTGATGTCACAGATGGATTAGAACGTACGTGCACGTGTCATGTTGATATAAAAGATAAAGTTCATGAGTCGCTGATATCAAAGATGTGGTAAAACGTACGTGTATGTCATTGTTTTGTGACAGATGAAGACAAAACATACGCCCATGTGTCATTTCCTTATCGTAGTTAAAGTAAAGCACACATCAACATGTGTCATTTTAATGTCACAGATGAATTAGAACGTACGTTCACGTGTCATGTTGATATAAAAGATAAAGTTCATGAGTCGCTGATATCAAAGATGTGGTAAAACGTACGTGTATGTCATTGTTTTGTGACAGATGAAGACAAAACATACGCCCATGTGTCATTTCCTTATCGTAGTTAAAGTAAAGCACACGTCAACATGTGTCATTTTAATGTCACAGATGAATTAGAACGTACGTTCACGTGTCATTATGTTATAACAGATTATAATAGATGAAGCTCATGTGTCACTGATATCAAAGACAAAGTAAAGCATACATGCACGTGTCAATCCAGTGACACAAATATATCAGAACACATACTATACTATGATTATGTTCCTTGAAACCAATAAACGCACACGTGTAATACCAATCTGCTGACGACAGCATACACCCATGCAAATGTCATTCCAGGTGTGTTGTAAACCATATTACCGAGTAGTGACAATAAAAACATAAAGCAAAGCACACGCGTGGGACGTTTCAATACAAATATTTATAGCACACCACAGAATATATCAATACTAAAATATTAATCAGTAATTCTTAATACCACTCATATATATGTCTTCCTTTGTGTCAAGGAATCTGAACTGTGGAGGAGTCCGTGGACGTCGGACACCTGCCATTCGTGCTGGAGTCATTCTATTACCATGCAGTATATAGTATTTGTAGTCTCAACCCCAGAATGTACTTTAGGCCCACGTCAATATTACTAACTTCAGCAATCAAGCGTGTGATCCCTGGAGCTATTAAGGTACCACATGTGCAGATGTTAAGTTAGACTAACAACTAGTCTCTGAAATGAACATATTTTACTGAAAAAGTCCTAACTAAAAATATACATGGAAAAGGAACGCTGAGACTTTCTTCATTTTCAGAAGCAATCACTTGCCACATTTTCGGACTTGCGTGGGCTTTCTTAGATATATTTGCTTCAGGGTCTGAGGACAGAAAATGTTCAGTATATGCTGCAGTTGAGGAAGAAAACCATACTCACACAGACCATACACATTTAATAGGCGTGCGCCATCCCTACGCTAACGGGTTTCCCCATGTTAAACGCTCCAACCTACTCCACATACGAATTTCCTACCGCATTAAGCTGGAATGCCGTAATAGAACTGTTAAAAGCGTCGTTTAACCCAGTTCAGTCACCCTACACTTGACGGATACAACGGATGCATTTGTTTGCCTCCAACACTAGATAACGCGCATCTTCGTACAAGGCTTCAAAGTGTTAACCGCGAGGTCTGCGAGACCTGCTCGAGCCCTCCCGTACGCTTGGTCTGGACAAGTCATTCGTCTCGGAACAATCCACGGAGATATAACACATGCACTGATGAGATAAAACCCTTCCTTCCTCGGAACTCTCGAGTGGGATCGCGCCTGTGATTATATCGGAGTTGTTGTGAATGGGCGAAGTAAGTCATCTGGTAGTCCAAATATTAGGGTCTGCTTATCATCTGTATCTGCTACTCTGGAGATCTGACTAGTTCTACATAGTTCGGCATGAGAATAATCAGGCAGATGGTCTGATGTAAAAGAAAGTTATTCAACAACGCTGTTGAACCTATGTAGTCGAGCGAACATAGCGTTCACTTTTCGTCACTTCTGTTATAATGAAACAACCAAATCATTTTACTGTATCATTCGTGCATGCAGCGATACTACAGACTGTAACCGCTGATGTACTGATTACTGCTTTTCTGAGTATATTCAGAATTGATGACGAGTAAGTAAGTGAGTGAGTTTAGTTTTACACCGCCTTTAGCACTAGTCTGCCCCACCGCCCCAAGGTTTCAGACTTCTGAACCGAAACTTTATATGTTTATCATCTCTATTAAGACAATATGCATAATAACCTCTTTGATACAGCTGTCACACTTGTACATCTGTATCAAAGGTGTCGAACATTCGTCATGTTACTTTGTCATCAGTCATATATACAGAATCTGAACATCTTCCAAAGATTTATGTTGTGACTACAGAACTGTAGATAAATCTACTCACTATGACGAATGTGCACGTGTTTAGTATAGACGACTACAGGTTCAAGGGTGTGTGTAGAATAGACGACTACAGGTTCAAGGGTGTGTTTAGTATAGACGACTACAGGTTCAAGGGTGTGTGTAGAATAACTACTACAGGTTCAAGGGTGTGTGTAGAATAACGACTACAGGTTCAAGGGTGTGAGTAGAATAACGACTACAGGTTCAAGGGTGTGTGTAGAATAACTACTACAGGTTCAAGGGTGTGTTAGTATAGCTACTACAGGTTCAAGGGTGTATGTAGAATAACTACTACAGGTTCAAGGGTGTGTTAGTATAGCTACTACAGGTTCAAGGGTGTGTGTAGAATAACTACTACAGGTTCAAGGGTGTGTTAGTATAGCTACTACAGGTTCAAGGGTGTGTGTAGAATAACTACTACAGGTTCAAGGGTGTGTTAGTATAGCTACTACAGGTTCAAGGGTGTGTGTAGAATAACTACTACAGGTTCAAGGGTGTGTTAGTATAGCTACTACAGGTTCAAGGGTGTGTGTAGAATAACTACTATAGGTTCAAGGGTGTGTGTAGAATAACGACTACAGGTTCAAGGGTGTGTGTAGAATAACTACTACAGGTTCAAGGGTGTGTGTAGAATAACTACTACAGGTTCAAGGGTGTGTTTAGTATAAACGACTACAGGTTCAAGGATGTGTGTAGAATAACTACTACACGTTCAAGGGTGTGTTTAGTATAAACGACTACAGGTTCAAGGGTGTGTGTAGAATAACTACTACAGGTTCAAGGGTGTGTTTAGTATAAACGACTACAGGTTCAAGGGTGTGTGTAGAATAACTACTACAGGTTCAAGAATGTGTTTAGTATAGACGACTACAGGTTCAAGGGTGTGTTTAGTATAGACGACTACAGGTTCAAGGGTGTGTGTAGAATAACTACTACAGGTTCAAGAATGTGTTTAGTATAGACGACTACAGGTTCAAGGGTGTGTTTAGTAAAGACGACTTCAGGTTCAAGGATGTGTTTAGTATAAACTAACCAAGGTTCAAGAGTATGTGTAGTATAAACTAATCAAGGTTCAAGGGTGTGTTAAGTATAGACGACTACAGGTTCAAGGGTGTGTTTAGTATAGACGACTACTGGTTCAAGGGTGTGCTTAGTATAAACTAATCAAGGTTCAAGGGTGTGTTAAGTATAGACGACTACAGGTTCAAGGATGTGTTTAGTATAGACGACTACAGGTTCAAGGGTGTGTTTAGTATAGACGACTACAGGTTCAAGGATGTGTTTAGTATAGACGACTACAGGTTCAAGGATGTGTTTAGTAAAGACGACTACAGGTTCAAGGATGTGTTTAGTAAAGACGACTACAGGTTCAAGGGTGTGTTTAGTATAGACGACTACAGGTTCAAGGATGTGTTTAGTAAAGACGACTACAGGTTCAAGGATGTGTTTAGTAAAGACGACTACAGGTTCAAGGATGTGTTTAGTAAAGACGACTACAGGTTCAAGGATGTGTTTAGTAAAGACGACTACAGGTTCAAGGGTGTGTTTAGTATAGACGACTACAGGTTCAAGGATGTGTTTAGTATAGACGACTACAGGTTCAAGGATGTGTTTAGTAAATAACGACTACAGGTTCAAGGATGTGTTTAGTATAGACGACTACAGGTTCAAGGATGTGTTTAGTAAAGACGACTACAGGTTCAAGTTGTGTTTAGTATAGACGACTACAGGTTTAAGGATGTGTTTAGTATAAACTACTTCAGGTTCAAGAGTATGTGTTTAGTAAAGACGACTACAGGTTCAAGGGTGTGTTTAGTATAGACGACTACAGGTTCAAGGGTACAGGTTTGTAGTATAAACTACTACAGGTTCAAGGGTGTGTTTAGTATAAACTACTACAGGTTCAAGGGTGTGTGTATAGAATAACTACTACAGGTTATACACTGTTCACAGGTTCAGGTTCAAATTTGTGTGCTACATTAATTGTTACAGGTGTAAGGTTGTGTGCACCATAAACTGTTACAGGTAAAACGAGTGTGTAATATAAATTGTAGCATATTCAGGTACGTGTGCAGTAAAACCGATATAGGTTAACGCGCGCGTGTACATTAAAGTGTTAGAGATTTAACTTTATGTAAAAACTGTTAAAGGTTAAATCGTTTTGGTAAATA